TCGATGACTTGCTTAGTTGCTTTCTGTTTTGAGCTTAACCACCGTTTAAGCTAAACGGGCTTGATCAACTGGCCCCAGACTCGGCCCCAGATAAACATTTTTGTATTATCGAGATCGAAACTATAGTAAATTGGAAACCGTGTCAATAATAAAAAACGTACAATGAACTTATGAACATGCGAAAATTGTCACGCCCAAAATTTATACAAATTTTTAATTCCAATTTACTATAGTTTCGATCTCGATAATACAAAAATGTTTATCGGGGGCCGAGTCTGGGGCCAGTTGATCAAGCCCGTTTAGCTTAAACCGTGGTTAAGCTCAAAACAGAAAGCAACTAAGCAAGTCATCGATTTATTCAACAATCAAGCTAAACGTTTCGTTTCGTGTAAAAAACGCGGCCGTACATATTAATTAATAGAAATAATTCGTTTTATCAATTCATTCATTAGAATGATCATTTTATATGATAACCCGTAAACATACTGACCTTGCATATAAATATCTAATGAAATATAAATTGTCAAACACAAAAACACTGGTGGTCATCGAGGTTTATGACGATTACGGCTGATTTGTAATTTATCCGTTCTTCTTATAATCGTTGTTTACAATAAATTGCAAAAATAATGCCCAAAATTCCAAATGCACGCAGTCAAAAGTGATGTGAAGTCTACAAGAAATCTCGTGAATACAAAATTACTCGTGCTAAACAAATAACTCTGAAATGTCGCCTTCCCCCCCTAAACACGTGATAAGTCAATGCTGCCATCTACTTCCGGCTGGTCGAAATTGACCAGCCGGAAGTATGTCTGCTTGCCAGATGTTACAAGTCTCTCTTCTCTTTCCTCCTCTCCCCCTCAGCGGTACGTCATGTAACGTACAATATAGATGTACAATATATAGATGTCCACAAAGAGAGACTTGGAGCAAGTCTACAAGTTTATGGACCACAAACTTTTCGGTTGCATGGATCATCAATTGAGACTGCTTACCAAAAGTTAAGTATGGTTGGTCATGGCTGTCATGCGGGAAGTTATCAGCACTACCAATCAATGTGTATATTGAAAAGCTGGCTGACCATGATTAGACAATGTTGAATGTTCGAGCAACTGCACACTTGAACAGACATTTGTCACAGCCAATCAGAATTGTTATAATGCACACTCACTGTTCATTACCTCTGCTATTTTAAAGTAAAATTCAGTTGAGGAAAGGCTTGTTTACAATTGAAAGTTTTGCTGCAATTTTCTTCTGATAAATGTAAATGAGTGGATGAGTTATGAATGTTCAATTCCCACGGTGGCCAAGCAAACTTTTCAGCTTGCCCAGTGTGGATGCACACTCAGAGTAACATCACAAACATCAGCTTGTTCCAAACTTGTTACCAAGGGTGGGTATAGTAGCGAAGTAGTTGTAGTTCGCTACTGTAGCGATCTACAATTTTCAAGTAGCCAGTAGTTTTTGACTACTTTTTTAAAACAGTAGTTGTAGTTATAGCGAACCACATTTTGCCTAAAAGTGGCCAAATAGTTGACTACTTTTCAAACAGCGAATCGCTATTCGCTACTTTTTAAAATTGTTACCAACCGTTCATAGCATAGAACGATATTAAGACACGGTTTGCTTAAAAGATTATTTTATACAGTAAAGATTATTTTAGCGCAATGAAAAGTGGCACTCCTGAACACTGTAGTGCTCACAAAATGGTGCTTTGACCCTTTTTGTTTACTGTTGCTACTCGTAAGTCGATTTGTTATAAGTTATATTACAGCCTGAGCTAGTGGATGCTCCAAATACCGTAAAACTAAAAAATATAGATTAGCGAAATAGTTCGCTACATTTTTTTAAGCAGTAGCTGTACTCAGTAGCGAACTACCTTTGTTCAACAGTAGCAGTAGTTGTAGCTGACTACATATTTTTGAAGTAGCTGTAGTTATAGCGAACTACAAAAATTTTGTAGTCAACCCACCCTTGCTTGTTACAACTACTGGGAACAAGCAGTGTGAAGACAACTTTTCGACAGCTTGTGAACAGTTTTGTGACAACTTGTTTGCAGTCCTATAACAACTTGTGCATTTTTACATATGTACTTTACTTCCTTGACAGCTGCGGATTGTGTAGACACGTAAAAACGCACAAGTTCTTACAGGTTTGCAAACAAGTTGTTACAAATTTGTTGACAAGTTGTTCGCTTGTTCCTAGTTGTTGTAAAAAGTTTGGAAAAAGCTGTTAACAACTTGTGACAATCTTGATGGCATTGTCAGACTTGTTAAAAGGTTCTTACAAATCTGATACAGTCATGATATAACAAGAACGTTACAAGGTTGACCACACAAGGTTCTAACAATATTGTTATATCATGACTGTATCGGACTTGTTGGAACAACCTAGCAACAAGTCTGATAATATCAACAAGGTTGTTACAAGTTGTTAACATCTTGTTCCAAACTTGTTGACATCTTGGGACAAGCAGTGCGAACACAACTTGTTTACGGCTTCTTGGCAGACCTGTTGTTACAAGATGTGAGATATTTACGTGTGTACACAAGTCAAAACACACAAGTTCTTACAGCTCTGCAAACAAGTTATTACAAATCTGTTCACAAGCTGTCGACAAGTTTTGTTTGCAATGCTTGTTCCCAGTTGTTGTAACAAGTTTTGAACATATTGTTATATCGTGAGTGTAATAGACTTGTTGGAACAACCTTGCAGTAAGTCTGATAATATGAACAAGGTTGCTACAAGTTGCTAACATCTTGCTCCAAACTTTTTGCCAACCTGGAACAAGCTGAAGCAGTGCGAACACAACTTGTTGACGGCGTAAAAATTTCACATCTTTGTAGCAAGTCTGCGGCGTCTGCCAACAAGTCGTCAACAGGTTGTGTTCGCACTGCTTGTCCCAAGTTGTCAACAAGTATGGAACAACTTGTTAACAGTTATTAGCAGACTTGTTGCAATGTTGTGCAATCCGATACAGTCTTGTGTATATCATGACTGCATCAGCAGCGACGCCGGAACGATAAAAAGGCAAAGGGGGGCAGACGCACACCAAAGGGTACCTCTATAGATCAAAAGTTCGAAATTTACCTGAAAATTTTTTTTTACATGAAATTTTTTTGGGCGATTCCCCCTCCCCCCGTCACCAAAAAAATTTCGGTCAATGTCAAAAAAATTTTCCGGACATCAGCAATTTTCTCCATTTATCCAAAAAAAAATTCTAAAATCCAAAAAATTTCTAAAATTTTTGTAAATTAACCTCATTCTTTTCCAAATTCACACTTATTTTTGTAAATTAACTTTCTCTGGGCCTATAAATTACCTGAATCTTATGACTTTGCCCGAAAAAGCATCACTGGAAATGTGATTGATCAGGTAGTATTTTACAACTAAAAGGGCACTTCTGCCCCCCCCCCTAGCAAAAGGCAAGAGGGGCAGCTGCCCCTCCTGCCCCCCAGTTCCGGCGTCCCTGACTGCATGTATCAGACTTCTTAGAACAACCTTGTAAGTTTCAAACTTGTTACAACAACTAGGAACAAGCAGTGCGAATACAACTTGTCGACAGCTTGTGAATAGATTTGTAACAATTTGTTTGCAGACTTGTGACAACTTGTACGTTTTTACGTGTGTAGTGCATTAAGGATACAAAATATCCATGCAAGATCAAGTACAAATCTTGCGATGTTTGAAATTGTGAGTATATCAAATTACGTCTGGTTTTCAATACACGGATAAAAGCGCGCAGGTTGTTGCAAGTTGATATCGACAGGCGTGAACAATATTGTGCGGGCAACTATGAACAAGTTGTCAACCATGTTGTCTCAAGTTGTTACAGTTGAACGATGTTGTAACAACATGATGACAATACTGTTCATAGTGGGCCGCACAACCTTGTTCACGCCTGTTGATATCAACCTGAAACAAGTTGTTCATTTTCTCAATTTTTATGCGTGTAGTTGACATACACCGAAAAACGAGGACGAACGAATACGCAATTATGTAACAATGTTTCATTGAAATCGCGAAAGCTGATTGGTTTGCATACAGCTATTTCAATTAATTGACGTTTTCCCCCGAACTAAGCGGAAAAGTTGAATACGAGTAGGCAATAGTACGGCTATGGTTAGCAACGTTCAATTATTTTTTATTTATTTCACATTAAATTTTATTAATGTTTTGCTGTAGTAGCTGGACACCACTGTTTCCTGTACGTATAGATGGTGCAGTAATTTATATCAGGAATACTAAGTTAATCACAAAGAATTTTAACACTACGATATCTCAACTAAAGACTTTACTAGTAAAGAAACGAATATAAGTAAACTTGTTTCAACCAATAGAAAGCGTCGAGTTGAACGAGTGTGAACGGTACAGTCGTTCAGTGAGGCCAGGGTTGGTAAATTACAGGGTGTAAAACTGAAAAAGAAACGCAACCTCGGAATTTCCCAAGAAATCGACATTGTTTTAAAGACAAAAGATTTTAGGCACCTGGGAATTTAAAATAGCACAACTGTCAAAATTACTGCACACGCGAGTGCATAAAGCAAAATTTATGCATTTACTTAATAAAGTAAATGCATAAATTTTGCTTTATGCACTGGCGCGTGCAGTAATTTTGACTATTAATAATGACTATTAGCAATTCGATTTCAATTCCCAGGGGTCTAAAATCTTTTATGCTTAAGAATTGCAAAGTATTTCTTAGGAAATTCCGAGGTTGCGTTTTTTTTATACTGTACAGTACACCCTGTAGATGAATTAGGCCAAATCGATTAGTGCCGTTTAGAAAACGAAGAAAACAAAGGCCTAGTGTGACGGTGTTTGGCCTAATTATTCAGCAAAACTATACCAACCCTGAATGAGGATAGTCGTTCGTTCTCGTGCTTCAGTGCAGGTTATGAAATTTCGAAGTCTTGTGTTCTCGATAGTTACATCTTAATAGTATACTTGAAAATGGCCTCCGTTCAGTCCATTGTGGACTGGCAGTCGACAACGAAGACCATTTTAGACAGAAATCGTCACATGTTTAAAAATCCTGACATGAGTGACATAAGCTTCACCTGCAATGCTTCGGAAAAGACATTCTACGCACATAAATATGTATTGGCTACAAGTAGCGTCGTATTTTATGCGATGTTTTTTGGAAGCTTGCCCGAGAAAGAATCGATTGTTCGTTTGCCTGATACAAACGAGGAAAGCTTAGAACAGTTTTTGAGATTTCTTTACAGGGAAGACTGTACATTGACCGCAGACAATGTTTTTGCGATTCTGTATTTGGCAAAGAAATACATTGTGCATTCGCTCAAAGAGAAATGTGTTGATTTTCTGGTGGAAAGTTTAAACCCTGAAAACGTGCTGGACGTCCTCGACCAAGTGACTCGGTTTGATGAAGAAGATTTAAAAAGACATTGTTGGAAAGTTATACAGTCCCATACCAGCAAAGTGGTGGCCTTGGATAATTTCAATAACATCAGTCAAGGGACCTTGACTAAATTACTGATACATGACGCTCTGAATGTACCAGAAGTGGAACTGTTCCACGCTGTTTTAAAATGGATTGATTTCCAATGTTCATGTAAGAATTTGGAACCAACAAGCAAGAACAGAAGGTCTGTTATTGTCAAGGCAATCTATGGGTTGCGATTTTTTAGCATGAGTCATAAAAAGTTTGTCAAGCATGTTGCTAAATCTGGCTTGCTAACTTCAGATGAGTTAGTTCCAATTTACGAGAAATTTCTTGTTGGAGTTGATTCCCCTGCGCTGAAATGGAAGTTGCCGAATAGGAAACCAGCAAATATGGTGAGGGTTTCCAGATTTTCCGGAAACGTTGAAGATTTTCTAAACGGAAGGGATTGCTTTGGTTGCATAGCCGATTACTTTGTTTTTTCAGTGGATAAAGAGGTATTATGGAATTAAGCATCAGGTCACCCTGGCAGTCGAAGACGCCACAGTGAATGGAATGTATGTACCTGAAGAGGATCAAGACGGCATCCTTGGTTTTGATGTAATGTTCAAGAAACCCATTATGGTGAAGCAAAACGATGCTGTAGGAATATTTGCTGATATTCATGGACCGCATACGTTTTATGGCACAAATGCATTGTCAAGTGTTACAAATAAAGGAATCACTGTAACAGTTGATTGTCCGTCTGACCCATATAACAGCATGTTGCAGGAGCAATTCCATGAAATAATACTTTCGACTATTTGTTAATGTTTTTTAAAGTATTAACAGTTTTGGATACTATCCAAACTGTGAACAGTGTTGTTGATCACAATGCATTAATATATGAGAATAATATTACAGCGTTGTGTAATTACTTATTATATAATACCTTATTGATTTCTGATCGTTTAATTGGTGATATTTTAACACGTGATATTGAATAGAAAATTCCATTTCCCAAGAGTGCAATGGAATACGTTCCATTGCACTCTTGCGAGTGCAATTGTACTATACGTTTTATTCCACAGTAAACCTTTACCTTTTAATATTAGTCTATTTTGGTATTATATAAAACAAATAATGAATGTTTTTATTCGTGCAATGGTAAGAATATTTTCATTCGGTGAAAGATGGAATGTTCCATTCAACTTGGCTGTCGCCTCGTTGACTGGAACATTCCATCTTTCACCTCATGAAAATATTCTTACCATTGCACGAATAAAAACATTCATTATTTGTATAATGGCTGCTTGTTGATCATAACGTTTACCTCCAGTGTGGATTATATCGATTCCTGGAAATTTTTGTGAACTTGGCAAGAACTTAAGTCGCAGAACGTTCAATAAATAATGTTTCGACCTGGCTACGCATCCTCTATTTTTTCAATTGGCAAAAAAGGCCTAAAGAATATAAGACAACTGAAATTACCAATTTTCTTTCTTCGGTAGGAAGAACACTAAATGGCTGATTACCAATCAGATAAAATATGCAGTTTTCATTCACATTGAGTACTGTTCACACTTAATTATGCAAGAAAAAAAACACAAAACATACCACTAACCTTCAATAAATAATGTTTCAACCTGGCTACGCATCCTCTATTTTTTCAATTGGCATAAAAGGCCTAAAGAATATAAGACAACTGAAATTACCAATTTTCTTTCTTCGGTAGGAAGAACACTAAATGGCTGATTACCAATCAGATAAAATATGCAGTTTTCATTCACATTGAGTACTGTTCACACTTAATTATGCAAGAAAAAAAACACAAAACATACCACTAACCTTCAATAAATAATGTTTCAACCTGGCTACGCATCCTCTATTTTTTCAATTGGCATAAAAGGCCTAAAGAATATAAGACAACTGAAATTACCAATTTTCTTTCTTCGGTAGGAAGAACACTAAATGGCTGATTACCAATCAGATAAAATATGCAGTTTTCATTCACATTGAGTACTGTTCACACTTAATTATGCAAGAAAAAAAACACAAAACATACCACTAACCTTCAATAAATAATGTTTCAACCTGGCTACGCATCCTCTATTTTTTCAATTGGCATAAAAGGCCTAAAGAATATAAGACAACTGAAATTACCAATTTTCTTTCTTCGGTAGGAAGAACACTAAATGGCTGATTACCAATCAGATAAAATATGCA